GAGGGGAGATGGTGAGATTTTCAGTGTTCCTCTTGGTTTCAGCTGGGACCACACCCAGGAGGAAAGTGAAGACTAGTGAAAACTGTGATGTGTAGGAATGGCTCTCGTCCTCTCCAGTGTGGGTTTTACTTTGATATAACTTGAGAGTCTGAAGCTGGTTTAAATAGGGCCTTACAGGCCCAGGTGGACAGTGCAAGCTGGCTGCTCTCCTCCACAGCCCCTTTGTGCAACTGGCTGCTGTGCTGTGAAGTTTTGGCCCAGTGCATTCCCTGTGCTCATTAGTTTTCCTTAAAAACCTGTCACTGGGGCTGGAGAGATGGCTCAGAGGGTAAGAGCAACAGCCAAAGGAGGAAAACGAGGCCCGTTTAGCTGGAAGAGAGGCACTCTGTTGGGGGCAGAATGTCGTTGTGTTCATGAAGACGCGGCCTAACAAACGGGAATTGTATGGGACAGGAACATCCCAGCTTACTGACGACGGCACCAGCAGTAGAGGGAAGATGCTGACCTGGGGTCACGCAGAGGCAGGGCTTTTCTAGAACGGGAGAGTTACAGGCATGGGTCAGGCTGTTCCTTCAGCTACAAGACCAAGTTTCTGTCATGTCAATAACTGTGACTCGCCCTGTGAGATGACAGTGGTTTGTAGATCTACCTTTAGTTAATGCCTGGGTAGCTTCGCGTCTGACTCTCATAAAATCCACAAATATTCAGTTGGTTAAAAATGTGCCCTCTGCACATTTAGTCCTTCAAGACGGCATGGGCTGTGGGAAAATCTTATAAAACTGTCACTGAGTTAGCATGTAACTAATCATGGCAAATCTGTGGCGTGCCTGATCACGTGACTCAGGTGGCGTCTGAACTCAATAGGCCCTTGGGGTGTAGAAAGTGTGAAATCGCCTCATTTCCTGGGCTCTCTAATCAACAGGCCTCAATAGCTTTGGGCTGAAGGGGGTAATGTTTGTGTTTAATAGCATCTACCATCAGCGGTGACAACTGTCCGAAGTCCAGCCCCATGCCGGGAGCTCCTTGCTGATTACTGAGGCAGAGACCCAGTGGGTAAGGAGACCTAGGATGACAAGCAGGCACTGGCCTTGGTGCTGCCTGGTCTCTGGGGACAGCAGCCACACCGCCTGAGCGGCAGGCGGCTGAGGTGATGATGAAGCAGTTTCTGGGATGGGAGGAGCGGTAGCCTCTGTTTCCCTAAACCAGCGAGCTGGAGCCTCAGGCCTTACTGCAGGAAGCCCGGGGACTTGAGCCCTCCAACACGACACGTCAGAGGAAGAAGGCTACTGGGAGCCCACAGCCTGGGGAGTCCTTCCCAGCCTCATCTCTGTTTCTCCTCTTGCTGCTAATTCTTCAAGGAGACTGCCATTTTACCCCCTCCTCCCACTGTTTCCCCCAGTGAGCTGAGAGCAGCCTGTTCCTTTCCTAAGCATACCCCTGCCTGCTTCTGCTCCGACAGAGGCTCTCCAGAGGCATGAGGGAACGTCCCCTCACCCTCTTACCCTGATGGCTTTCCTGTGGCTGGTGCTGCCATGAACTCCGCTTGCTTTCAGTTTCTTTGAGTGTGCATCTAGAGATGGACGCTAGCTGATCTCGTGATAATTTCACAGTTAAAGGACCAGCCCTACTGTTCCCATAGCAGCTGCTGCCCTTTACGGCCCCACCAGCAGGAAAGGGTCCTAAACTTTCTCTACGTCTTCATCAGCATTTGTTCTTTTCTAGTTTTAAAGTCATTGCAATGATACAGCCTGGGCCTGCATCTCCTTGATGTCTGAAGTCGAGACTCTCTTTATTTTAGGTACTTAAAGGACAGTTGTGTGTCTCTGCAGAAAAGGCCCGTTCAAGTCTGTCACTCGTATTCAAGCTGAGCTTTGGTGCCGTATCATTGTGACTGTGAAATGTCTTTTCATTCAGATGGAGACATCCTTAGGAGACTTGCAAGCAGTGGGCAGCCAGTGTCCCCTGCCTGTGGCTGGGTCCTTGATGTGTGTAGCTCTAGGTTCAACCACCTGTTTCCCCACGAAGGATGCGAGCTCCAAAGGCAGCTGGCCCACAGAACAACCACGTGAACACTCCTGGCTCTGCAGGGCAAGAAAGGCGCTGGCCTGGCTGCAGGTGTGGGATTAATGTGCAGCAGCAGCCCCTGAAGCAGCACATTGGCCTCAGGTGGGTCCTGCTCCCTGGGCCTCTATTTTCAGCTTCTAGGCCCCCCAAGCCCGCGGGCTGGGGGAGGGGACAAAGCCTCATCCACAGAGGGGCTTTTCCCAGGCCAACTCCCCTACCCAGGTCCCACCCCGGCCCAGTCCAGTTATACCGAACCCCTTGGGGGAAGGAGGTGTTTTTTGGTTTGTTGTTTCCAGGCTTGACCTGCTGCTCCAAGCCCGCAAGGGCGGGGAAGGGCGGCGGCGTGGGGGTAGGGGGTGTGCCGGGCCCCCCATCGGGGAAGCTGCTCGGGTGCAGGGCCTGTGTCCAGCATCCTCCTCCCGGGTGCGCCCCGCGAGTCCCCCGCGCGCCCCGCTCTAAAGTAAACACGGCCGAGAGGACCGGTGCCGCCTGCTCTCTGTCCGGCTGCAGCCGGCCCGAGCCATGGCGGAGGCGGTGCCGGTCTCCCCTGCGGGCGGCCGCGGCCTGCACCGGGGCATCATCCAGTGGTGAGCGGCGGGCCGCTGGGGCCGGAGGCTGGGGAGCGGGTGGAGCACCTCGGGCCGGAGGCCAGGGCTGCGGACGGGGGTCCCCGCCACACGCGGTCCCGCATCCGCACCGGCCGGGTTTTCCACCTGGCTGTCCCCTTGGGGTCACACTCCCCGGGGGAAGCAATCAGCCTGCCCCGGCGGGGCCTGTCGGTAGGAGTGCTCGAACGCAGGCAGGCGTTGGCCAGGGGAGGAAACGTTATTTTTTCCCTCCTAGCGTGAGCTCTAGAATGGATGTGTCCAACTTAAACCAACTTTCAGCTTCAGCAATGCATTCCATGGTGTTTGTGAGATTCATTTCTTGGCTATTTAAATACAGAAAGGGGGAGGGGAGAGTAGAAAGAAAAATACCCTCGGCCCTGGGACTGAACTCAAGACTTTGCGGCTCTTTAAAAATAGGAAAATAATTAAAGTCAGTCTTCAGACCTGACTTTATAAGGTGACTGTTATAGATCAGCCTACATTTTTCTTCTTGTAAGTTTTAAGTCATTTATTTCTCAGGGGAAACTCCTTTTGAAGAGTCACCTGAGTAAGAACTATTAAAAATGTTTACGATTATAAATTATATTTTCTTTCAAAAGAAAATTTATGATCTTGTCTTGAATGAGATTAAAAATAATAATAAGGTAACCAGACCCCCTTGCCTGGCTTCTTAGCAGGAAGACTCGGTTGGATGCCTTAAATTAACTACTTCAGCTCGCCCTGCATATCTGGGTGTTGAACTTTGCCACAGAGAATTGGAAAGAATGACTATAAAATTTTAAATATTTGGGCATCCTCGTAGGTGGCTTGCAGGTGCGTGAGGCAGGTGCCCCAAGTCCGTTTGGCACATAACTGAGGGTGCAAGTCCAGCTCAAGTCCCAAGCCCAGAAGTTCTCATACCCAGAGTCCTATTCCCACAGGTTCCCCAGGGCTGGGCGGGAGGAACTTGAATTCGCCTAACACTGGCATTCAAAATACTGCCCCAGTGTCTAATATAGAGCCTTGGAAAGGAAGAGATCAGGCTAGCCGGAGGGAGGGACAGCGCTGCCCAAGCAAGACCTGGATGAAGAAGCCGCTGGAGGCAGCTGAAGAGAGAGGAGGGAGAGGCCACAGCCCTTGCCCTGTGGAAGAAGGCCGTTTCTGCACACTTCACCCTTTGTTTTCCAGTCAGTGGCCTGATAGGTGGGACCAAGACCTATTAGTCAGGTGGAGTCCTATCTAGGCCAGCAGTATTACTGTCATCTGCACATGACAAATTATCCCTGGGGTGTTGGCTGGTCTAGGGAACTGGAACTGTGAGGTTTCCATTTCAGAGACAGGAAGAGACCAGTCAGGCTAGGTAGCATGAGAATGGACACAATACTGTGGACACAAACCCTTGGGGCCTGGTGGGGTGGGGCCTGGGCATCCAGCCTCTTCTGGTGGTACACCATGGTCACCTGTGGCAGTCCCCTGCCTCACACCCTCTCCTCAGAGCGGCATGCAGCAGAGGCCAGGCTTAGCACAGCAGGTGCTCCTTGGAGCTGTGTCTACAGGGTTCTTACTTCTATTTGCCTTTTGATGGGAGAGATAAAAATGGCAGTCCCTGAAATAATCAGGTTAATAAAGAAAATAATTTTCCCTAAGGAATGGCTCCTCCTGAGGTTTCAGTCCCGGGTCACCTGGCCCCATTGTTTTGGTATTCTGCAGCAGGATGGCAGGATGGAGCATCATGAAGATTATCTCCGAGAAGTGCTTCTAATGGCAGCCACAAAGCAGAGAGGAGGGGCCCGGGGCCCAATATCTCCACCAAAGGCACACCCCAATTAGCAAACTTACTTATACCAGTCCCACCTCCTAAAAGTTCCACTGCCCCCGTCTGGCTCCATAAAGCAGCGGCCAGGCTGCTAGCCTGTGGGCCTCCGGGTCCAATTAACCCCCACACCATCCTGCCTGCCTTGGTTCCTTGACTTTCCGCTGTGGTGGTATTTTGCATTTTCCCGGGTAAATAGTCCTCCACCCTGCAGTTACATAGATCTGAGCTGCAGCCTCTGCAGAGGCTCCTCAGACAGTATCTGCCTCTTTTTAGCATGCACCTCTCCTCCAATAACACCCCAAACCTTACCACATTGACAATGGAAAGCCCATAGCCTGTATTCCAGACACTGGCCCCAGGGAAAGGGGACGCTTTCGTTGACTGCCCGTGAGCTGCTGCAGTTCCGATCGGTGATCCGGAGGGTCGTTTGGTTGGACGCACACGTGCGCCTGGTTACTAGTTGTGTCAGAATGCCCTTGCCTGGGAGAGCAGCCGCTGACTTCCTGTCCCCCCTCTCTGCAGGCTGGTTGACAATTTCTGCATCTGCGAAGGGTTCAGCGTGCCTCGCTGCCTCATGTATGAGATTTACGTGGAGACCTGTGGGCAGAGCGCCCAGAACCAAGTCAATCCAGCCACGTTTGGGAAGGTGAGTGCGGCGGCTCAACAAGGCTGCGCTCACGGAGGCCCACTGTCCCAAAGTTACAGGGCTTCAGGATGGAGCTAGGTTAGGCTGAGCACAGACTGATGTAGCTACAGTGTCGCTGATGGCAAAGCCTTCTGAGACCGCTGGCTGCCTCGGGAAAGCTTAGTGCGTTTGGGTCTAGTGGGGCCTCAGCAGGGAGAGTTGGCTTTGCCCTCCGGGGGCAGCAGTCCACAGGAGGCAACAGCCACAGCCTTCGTTTGTATTGAAAATCTACTTTGCATTTCCACGCTTCACAGTGGTTTTGAGAAAGTTGAAGTACTTTTTTATGGCAACCCCAACCCCCCACCCACCAAAGAGCTGGGTTTGCTAGGCCCTTACACTTACATAGAACTGCCAAGGCTCTCAGAACACTGCTCTGATCCACTCCGGTACACAGCAGTGGAGGTTCCCAACCGCCACTGAAGTTGGATTCTAGTTGTCCAGGCTGCCAGGCCTAGGCAGGTGTCATCAGTAGTGTCTCATAGTTAGCAAAGTAAAACGAGGAATTATTCAAACCAAGGGTCCCAGAGACGGCCACAGTGTGAGGCTGGCGGAGCCAACCTCCTGAAGCACGCAGAGTTCTTTTCTCTTGTTGATTCCACCAAAACCAAACCAAAGCAAAACACCCTTGAGCACAGAGATAGCGGGGTCACCTGGTCTGAGCGGTGCCAAGCACAGGAACCTATGCGTGTCTTACTGGGCTGTGGATGTCATACAGGAGCAGGGCCCTCTCGGGGCTCAGACCTGATGCTAACTGAGGAACAGCCCATTTCTGCAAAGGAGAGGGTGGCATCTCCTCTGGACAGACACAGCCCGTGCCAGGATTTGCAGTCTGACCACAGGACACAGACTGGTGAACATCACTCCCTCCTGCCCTGGGTCCTCAGCTAGGTCACAGCCTGCGCCACGCACCCAAGTTGATCTGGAATGACTGGTGCCGAGACTCTAGCTAGCTCAGGCCTGGCGAGCTCGGCCCTCGCAGGCCTTGCCCTTCTCCCCTTTTCCCCCCTGCCTTGTTAAAAACGGTTCTATTACAACCTAAAGCTCGCCACCAAGGTCTGTTCCTTTCTTCAGACACTTCCTCCTCCTGAGGCTGAATGCACGGTCCAGCTCTCAGAGTCTGGAAGCCCAACATCAAAAGCCCCCTTTGGCTCGAATAATTAACTCGCCCAATTAGAGTCAAACACCTCATCTTTACATGGGGTGCCGTTTTCCTGTAGGCCACGTCTGTCTCCTCTCTATCTAGGGATAGCCCTTTGTCCCATTCTGAGACAAATACCCCTGCCAGATATCCCTCGGCCTCTCCCCTTCTCCCTTGTGTTCTGTCTCCTGCCTTTGTCCCTTATCCCTGCCTCTGTCTCTCTGGGACAAATATGGATTTATTTTTTCTCCTTTGTGCCGAGAACTTGGTCTTGGGGTTCAGAGTTGGACCCATCTCTTACAACTAGGGTGACAAGGAGCCTGCTCCTAGGGTTATAAAGCTGTCAATTCACACTCCCCGATCTTTGCAAGAGCTCAGATCCCCAGCACCATGCAGAAAGCTGGATGTGGTGGTTGCCTGTGACCCAGCGCTGAGGAGACAGATGGAGGCTGAGGCCGGCCGGCGAACCTTTGTCACTTAGTTTGTTTGCTCTTTGTGTGATGCCCCACTTTGGGTGGTCCTCCGCCATGGTGGGCACGAGAACCGTTTCCTGAGGTTGCTGCTATAACTGAGCGTGTGCCGATGGTCAGTGCGTGTGAGGACCTTCTGTCAGGCTCGAACCTGAAGACTGACGAAGGGGAACCTCACTGCGTGGTCATGAGCGTGAGGACCAGGCTGCTCTGACTGGCTTCTCCCTACCTCCCACTGCAGTCCTGGGGGTGCTGGGGTGCTTTCCCAAACGCTGAGTTGTTTAGCTCTGTTCTCCCAGCTCAGCCCTCACACCCGAAGTTTCACATCCTCACACCCGAAGCTTCCGTCACTCCTGGCCCGTTCTGTGCTTCTGAAATGTGGTTGAATCTTCTCGAGTGACAGCTGGTCACGACTACTCTTGGCTCCTCAAAGGCTACCTTCCTGCCCATCCATTTCATTCTGAGGACTTCGGTTTCTGGATATTCCTCTTAAAGGTGGCTTCACGGATGCAGCCCAGTGCCTCCCGCTGCCTGCCTCCATGGTGTTCTCCGACTCAGGCGTGCTTTCTCTTTTGTTTGGTTCTTTGTTTTTATTTTCTTTGGGGCTCTTATCTTTCTTGTCATTCTCTTAGTTTCACTTTAAATATGTTATGAACAAATATGAGGACTTTTTTTTTTCCTCCACGTAAGTGAAAATTAAGCTAGGTCTCCCAAAACTGATTTATAAGCGGTAAATACTCCATGTAAATAAGCAGATTAAAACCAAAGAGGGAAACTACATTAAAGGTCTCTTTATCACTGCGTCTTATGGGGTGACTCAGAAAGGTTTTCCAACCTGCTGGGGATTCCCGGCTGTTATCCTGCAGCCCAAATACCTGCCATTGCATGACTCAGAATTTTAGGAAATGTCATCAAAGGCTCTGTGGTGCCCTGGGTAGGCTGGCACAGCAGCCCTTTCTTAGCTGCCACGTGCAAGTGTTCTCAGGGGGAAGAGTGTAAATGCAGGAGGGCACATTCTCAATGGTGTCCTTAGAGGCAGTTCAGTTCTGGAAGAAAATTCTCTTCTGCCTCTCTTTAAGGCTTAGGGTCCAGGGACACACAGCTCAGTGGTAGCGCCTTTGCAGCGCATGTGGAGCTCCTGTTTCCAGAGAAGAAAAGAAAAAAATCTTGTTATGATGTTTCATACTGCAGAGCTTTCCAAAGGAAAGAAATGAGAGTCTCCAGTGTCTGGCCTCTTCTGTAATTTCGAATTCTTTGTCTTAATGTTTCGATTAGAATCCACCCCCCAAGATGCCAAGGCTCTGACTCTAAGTCTGGTTGGCAAGTTGCCTAAAGAATAGGCCAGTGGCATGGGACCAACTGCTGTGACCGTATCCTGCTTGCCAGAGCTGTGGCTGAATGGAGAAGGGAGGGGAAGGGAAAGGGATATGAGCACAAAGCATGTTTACCGGAGAAGCAGCAAAATACCCCATTCTCACTTCCTCCCTCCGCCCCCGGGAGCTGAGTCGGGTCCAAGGGGCTCCTGCACAGATGATTCCGATGGACGTGTGGTGTGCCAGCAGCATCTTCCCCAGACTGGGGAGTTTCCGGGGGTGGGCTTCCTCGGCTAACATAACATCACCAATGTTTTCCTGCTCAGAACAGGATTGTGTCTCCCTTGTGAGCAGTGTGGAAATTAAAAAGTGTTAAGAAGGGGGAATTGTGAGGCTGCCTGTGGCCTCACTACCACAGGCACAGCTCTGCGCACGGTTCATTTGCACACGCGCACACGCTTGTGTGAGCAGCGGGAGCTGGGAATAACCGTAGACCTCATTCTCAGGTCCCTGTGCTTTGCCGTGTCCCTCTGCCCTGATGAGCTGGTGAGTGGGCAGCAGGCCTCCGAGGAACCGCTGGATGAGGCAAAGTCATCACCCCAGTCCGCTCAACCACCTAAGCTTAATGCTTGAAATGCCCAGCTTCATAGAGAAAGGGGGGTGAGGCGGGGTTTCACTGTGTAACAGAGACCAAGCTATCCTGGATTTGCTTTGTAGACCAGGCTAGCCCCAAAATCATAGAGATCAGCCTGCCTCTGCCTCATAAGTGCTGGGATTTGTGCTTAAACTCTGGTTTTTCAAGACAAGGTTTCTCTGTGCAGCCTTGGCTGTCCTGGACTGGATCTGTAAACCAGGCTGGCCCAGAATTCACAGAGATCTTCTTGCCGCTGCCTCCTGAGTGCTGGGATCACAGCTTTCAGGTGGCATGGTGGCCAATTCTCATCCCGCTCTGTGACTTGCGGCAAAGCAGTGTGGTTCTAATTTCCTGCCTCATCTTCTCACCTGCTGCCAGGAGTGGGTTAAACCATCTTGGGAGATGGGGGAGAGAGGAAGGTCAAGGAGGCTGTACTCTTTGGGACCAGCTGGCCCCTTTGGTGGTGGCTTCTTCAGTGCCTGCCTTGCCCTTGGCTTGTTGGTACACTTTCTGGTGGAGCCTCTTCTGGACCTTCTAGAACCACACAGGGCAAGCTTTTGCTCTCCCAACCTCAGTGCTCCCACACATTGCTGACTTTTGGCCTCAGAAGGCGCTTGGCCATTCTCGGCTTGACAGAGCCAGAGCCTTTCTCTCTGCTCAGCCAGCAAGGCCCTCCTTGTCCCACCCACATGAATTCTGGGTTATCACAAGATGGCACCCGCAGCGGCCTCACAGGACATACTTTGAGTGACTGGAACACCCTTCCCACACACCTCACCCCATACTCATGTGTGGGTGAACTCAACCCTTTTTTTTTTTTTGTTTTATAACTAAACGTCAATTTTGTAACAAACGGCCACAGTTACCCACCCCTAGGCTGTGCTGTCAAACAGCTCACTCTTCCATCGTCTGCTCCTTCCTGCTGTATGGACAGGTTAGATACAGGCCTGTGGATGGTGGTGACCTGATGGGTAGACAGAAGATAAATAGACGATCGGTACATAGGAAGGTAGACAGGCAGATAGGGGTGAAGAAGGACAGTAAGTCAGGAAGAGGAAGGCCATGTCCTTTCTCTCAAGTGCTGCTCCTGGGAGCGAACACAAAAAAGGAGGCTGTGGAGAGCTGGGCAGGGCGGAGGGCCGGGAAGAGCCAGAGCGATGTCCCTGGCGGAGCTGGTGCTGTGGCTTCTAAACGTCCCTACCTACAGCATTTCCGCTTCGAGCGGGCGCGAGCCTGGATACAGCAACTGTGGCTAAGCCCGTGCTGAGGCAGCCAGAATGGGTCCTGCCGGTAAGTGTCCCTGCACACAAAGCACATCAGGGGAGCCCAGGCCACAGACGACCCTGAGTCCAAGTGGATGCCATTCAGCAGTTCAGCACCATTCATTCACAAAACCTCCGAGACTAGAAAATGAGGTGGACCATGACAGCAGCTATGACACCAGAAAAAGAGGAGAGCAGCAGCAGAACAGCAGCCCATGGGCTAGACCAGAGCAGCCGCTGCTGATCTGACTTCCGGAGAATTGCTGGGATAATGTTGAGGGGAGCAGACCGCAAGGCTGGACATCCTGTGAGATGCCAGCCCTTCGATCCAAAAACATAAATGCTGGGACTTCAAGGCTGTGTCTTGGGGCAGTGGATCTCACACCAGCACCCACAGTGGTTGTGACCCACCGTTGAAAACCGCTGTCTGTTTCGGTGCTCGGGGTCTGAGTCAGCCGGGACACCAGGGTTTACTTAAATGGCGTTTTCCCCTGTGTGATGTATTTTACTTATCTGATGTGTTCTCCTAGTTTTATTTGCATATATACTCTTTATAATCAGCTATAACACTTTTTATAACTCCTTAGTAAACATAGATAAAGTGAGTTTGCTTTCAGTTTTCAAATTTCCTCCTTCTCCCCCCAATCCGGCTTGTTCCTGCAGCTCGTGCGCCTGGTTTTTCCCGATCTGGGCACCCGGAGGCTGGGCACCCGAGGAAGTGCCAGGTATGGATAGAACCTCTGCTTTGTTAAGTGGTGAAAATGAAGATGCGGACAAGTGAGCATAAATGATAAAACAGGATAAACTGTGTGTGGCAGATGGCGCCGTGGCTCAGGCCGAGTCCGTGTCTGGGTCATTAGGCAGCACTACACTTATTTGATCCAAACTCTCGATAAGATTTGAAGATCATGACATGAAATGCGCCCAATCATTAAAACGTTTAAATAATTACACACGTAGAATAATGCCAATTGCTTTAATTACTCTTTGAACGGAAACATCTTAAGCATTTGGCCAATTAGCCTATCAGTTATATTCAGGAGGCTGGGGCCTAAGGTGACAGTTTCAACAGGAAAGGAAATTCCAGTGCCATCAAGTGTGTCCTTATCAGTTGCCACACAATTATCATTGTCATTTGCTGTTTGTTTTAAATCAAGACAGGAAGTCAGGGAGCAGGGACAGAAGCCAATTAGAGAGGAAGGGCTGGCTGCCTGTGAAGAAACTGAAGATGGCGCAGAGTTTGCCAAGTCTAGCCTTGGGCAGTAATTAAACTGAAGCAGTATGGTTGTGTTGTTAGCCTGGGTGCATGCCATAGTCTCCACAGAAGGGCTGGGGGGAGGGGTCTGCCTCTCTGCAGGCTGAGTCCTCAGAGGGGCGAAGGTGGAAGGACAGGAGGCTAGCCCCAGGACATCCCTCTGAGATGAGGAGCTTTGATACCCAGAAAGCAGAACAAAGCATCTAATAGCCCTTCTGTTGGCTGTTATCAGGAGAATGGTCTGATGGGCTGTGGTGGGTCAGAGAGGTGGTGTGGTCACCTAACCTGCCTTCTGTCCTCACCGAGGAAGGGACTGTGGAGTAGGGCCGCGCTCCTGGCCAGGCTCCCAAGCACCGTCCTACACATTACAGCCAGGGAAAAGACCCAAATTCAAACTTCCACACATGATATCCATATATTGCATACACGTCATTGTATATGTGTGTTTGCATATGTGTGTATGTCTGTCTGTAAGTATGTATGTATGTATAGCATCACAGAAAGTCAAGTGCTGTGACTGAACATGTGGACGCGAGTTAAAAGACACCCTGTTTTTCAGGTACCACTATGATGGCATCTATATCAAGAAAAGTTCCTTTTTCTACTCTCATTACTGCTACCTCCTGGGTAAAAAAAGCTGTCACAGGTTAGTGTCTTCCCTGGGCTCCCTGGTCATGGGACACAGCCTGGTTTCTATGAAAACCATTCCGATTTTACCTGTACCCAACTAAAGTGTGGGCTGTTCTACCACAAGTCCCTGTGAAGAAGAACACAGGACTTTCGGCCAGTGCACCATGTCAGCCTCCGGGAATGTACTGGCCAGAGAAGCCGTTTCCACCTGGCGTCCGTAGGCAGCTCATTGTAATCACCTTTCCAGTCACCTGAGCCATAGCTGGTCAGGTCTTCCTGGAAATGTCATGACCCTCAGGACTCTGCTGTTCCCTCACAGGGCCGTGCTTTTCTTTAATCTCTTTCCTGTAGACAATAGTTGGTTTTTTTTTTTTTAACTCTACTTTATTTGGGGTTCCTAAAGCCTCTAGGCCCCTTTCAGCCCCCCAACCCTAGGTAGAAGAGAAATGAGGTTAGAAGGGACAGGGAACGTAGACCTCTTTACTTCTTCTGGCTGGGGAGGGTCGTCAAGTTCTTTTGGGGGCAACACCAATTCCAGTAGTCAGGAAATCCAGCTGTCCAGGTAACCAGGAAACCCCCAAACGCAGCAAGCAAGCAGTCTTCTTCTTTCTGTGAAGCCTTCTCTCCATTTGTCTCTTCCAAGACGCCGCGTTCTCCCTCTGGGATCTTGTGTTTATACCCCTCAGAGTCCTCAGAATTTAAATAACTCCAGCTGGCAAAGACCACGCCCCTGAACGGGGCAGTTATCAGCTGTGGACAAACTAAAGTCCCACACCTGGGATTAGAACAAAAACCTGTTTATGTAACATAGCTAAGTTTTTAAAGAAACCAAGATCCCCAGTAAGTGCAGGCCATCATCTGGTCTGGCCAGGACCCTCTGACCTCCCATCTTTACCACTCCTTCCCTCCACCAAGATGACCCCTGGGAACCTCACACCCCATGTGGAAACGTCAGACTAGAACCTCCCTGAAAAGCGCCTTCTCTTCTTGACTTCCTATTTGTGATGCTCACACTAAGCCATGCCTGACTCCACTGGACCCCAAATCCTTGCTTACCTTCCCCATTTGGGGATACTGGCATTTCGCTTTCCCCCTTGTTAGGCCACGCAGAGAGCAGTTAAGTCTCCGTCGGTACAGATCAAACCAAACTGAGGGGCCACAAGCAAACCTAGGCCGTGTGCTTGGCAGTTAGGCCTAAGCATGCACAGGCACGGCTTCTCCGCCTCCCAAGCAGGCAGCACGTGAGTTGCTTGCACAACACATAACACTTTCCAGGGTTAAGTGGTCTGGAGATGGCCTAGAGCACACACGAGGAGTCAGCGGGACTCCTTGCAGACACTCCTCTGTATGGGAGGGACCTGAGCCCTGGAGGAAGTCTGGGCCCTGTGGATGCTGAGGGACACCTAGGTTCCTGTGGACCTCGTGACCACCTTCTCAGCCTCTCCCTACTCTCTACACAACCACTAGGCCAAGCTTCCTAAAATTCTGATTTGCCTGCCTCATCCCTTCCCAGAAGCACCTGGGGTAAAAACTACCCATAAGGCACCACTGGGTATTTTGTGCCTTGTGCCCTGCTTTGTATTTCTCCATGCTGTCAGCCACGCTCGCCTTCCTGGGACTGTGGAGCTCCTTTCGTTCCCATCATCCTGGCCTTCCACAATCCCCTGCCTCCTTCCCTGCTGGGGTCCTCCTGAAGCAACCATTCATGTTGACATCCCCTGAGGACAACAGGGGACCATCTCCAACAGTGCCGCTCCAAGGCAGCCTCTTCCCCGCCCTTCCACATCACCCATGGCCTCTCTATCCAGACGGGCTTTCTGCTCTGTTTGTAGCTTTCTGCTTTGTTTGTTAGCTGTCCACTGAGCCTTCGCTTGGTGTGAATAGGTGATTGTGTGTCTGAGAAACCCAGGGAAATTTCCGTTTCACTTGTGGCATGATCAGTACCCTGTTCACTCTCAGAGTCATCTGATTTTGACGATAACAAGTTTGTATGAGGGGCCCTCCGTGAGTGTGGCTGCTGAGGCTCAAAGGCGGGAGCCCGTCCGGTGGCTGAGACACGGCTCCTTCCCTCTGCTTGCTTAATGGGAGAGCTAAGGGTTGCATTTAATGTGGCGCAAGGATAACATGGGTCAGAAATGAACAGGGTTCCCATGGGAAAGAGAACAGACACTCTGACATCAGGCCACGGTGAAATGTTTCAAGAAATAGCAAATATAGATTTTTCAAAGACAGAAATAAACACTGCCCTGTTGTTGATACCAAGCAAACTCTTCTATGAACAGTGACCGTTATGTCATAGGTACTTTATATAAGGCCTCCTGTATGTTGAGTGCCTCTTAAAAATTAGATCTCAAGCTGAAAAGAAAGTTCAGCTTTGGAAAGCAATAGGACTGTTACAGCTCACCCTCAATTCATTTATTCACTCAACAAACATCTGAGTCCCCACAGAAAATCAAGCCCACTGCCATGTCAGTAGTGAAAATACAGCTATGCCCTCTTCCTCCTACCGTGTGGAGTCAGGGAGAAAGAAAATAGAGCAAGACAAGGTGTGGCCTGAAGACAGTAATGGAGTCACAAGCAGGTTCCCAAGGCAGTGTGGTCTGAGTGAAAGTTCAAACAAATGGTTCAGCTGAATTGAATCCTGGGACAGCATTCCAGCAAAGAAAAGAGCCTGTGCAAAGGGCCTGAGCTAGAGAGAACAGCAGCCTCGTCTGAGCACAGAGCTGGGATGTGTGAAGGGAATGGGAGGGCAGGTCCCCGAGCAGGGAGGGTGGGCATGGAGAAGACAATCAGAAGACGTTTCCAGAGCCCCACTGGGATGCTTTCTACTGAAACAGCTCATGTCACCCAGAGGCAGCTCAGCTGTGCGATGCTATGTCACTATACGGACGTAATGACACCAGCCGCTGGCACGTCAGCCATTCTCCTGCTGCTAAACTGTGTGCTCTTGGGACGCTCGCTCGACTTCTGTGTCCCAGTTTCCTCCTCCACTGTGGATATCTGCTTGGTGGGGATGTTGTTAGGACCAGATGAGTGCAAGGGAAATGTTTAGGCCACCTGGGAGGCCGTGGGTTCCCTTGATCTCAGGTGTTCTGTCCTTGGCCTTTGTTTTCTCATGCCTGCGTGTGTTTCCGTGGTATCATATACGCTCTTTGTCCAGCTTTTGTATTCCAAGGTTCCATAGTTTCCACCTCGTTCTCCTGTGTAACTTCTTCCCACATCCTTGTCAAGGGATTCGTAGCAGCCCAGAGCTTTGTCTAACGGTGCCCCACTGGACAGTGCATGTCTGTACTCGTCAGTTCTTGCTCCTCATCCAGCTTCTGGTACTTGGTTATGGTGAGGTTCTGTGTGGCCTGAGCATTTGGTATGGTCTGAGGAGACTCCTGATCATGTTTGAATCACCTGTGTGGGAAATGAGTCCCCCTCCCTGCTGCCCACACTTTAGACTTGTAGGTTCCGACCTGCTTCTGAGAACTGTGGTCCCAATGACGGCTTAACTTCCTGAGCGCTGGCACTTGGCATCTGTGCACGGGTTCCGGGGACTTGGACCTGACAGGGGTGGTTAGGGAATGGGGAAAAGACAGACACATAGACAGGAAAGATGAGGTGTCTGGTGGAGAAACCTCACACCACAGAAGCTCAGCATGTTTGTTATAAAGAGCTGGGCGTCAGGGCGGGGATAGTGCACACAGCTGAACAAGGTGGAGTGTCCGGCACACAGCTGGATCAGGTCTGGCACACAGCTGGATCAGGTATGGCACACGGCTGGTTGAGGTGGACGGGTTGGCTAATCTTGGTAGGAGCAGGCTCTGTGAGGGCAGTCACGTAGGCGGGAGACTGTGGCGACTGTTCCTGTGCCCACACACCTACATGTGGACAGAGGGAGTTCCTGCCTTCGTCTGGGGACCCGGACATGTCAGTGCTGATGTCAGGAGCATTTTTCGAGGGACTTCACTCTCCCAGGGGCTGCTTCCAGTCCTTGTGCTTCATCTTTGCCGAGTCCCTGGTTCCTGGTTCCTGGTCCCTGTGCGGGCCCCCTCTCTGTGGGCTGTAGCTCCTGAGAGGCCTCTTTATACCCTGTGGAGCAGGGAGGCGGGCCTGGGCCCTGCCAGCTCTCCTTGGCTCTGTGGGTGGCCGAACTGTCCCATTTGGTGTCTGAGTCAGCCAGGGGGTCACCTCTGGACGGGCTCCCCACAGCCAGCATGGGGAGACTGCTGCTGTGGGCCGCCGGGCCTCCAGCCTCTGTCCCGCTGCTGAGAGCATTCCCTCTCCTCTAGATCTCCTCCCCTGTGGCCTCGCTGTGCTGCGTGGTTCTCTGGTAAATACGAGAACTTCCCATATCAGCAGCTCCACAATCCCCAGCCGTCCCCTTCCTTCACAGACCTGGAGCTTTTCCACCATCCATCCAGCGTCTCCAGGTGTTCGGGTGTGTTGGGCAGAAGGGAGGCAGCATGACTCTGTACCTTGTGGAAGCTGTGTCCCCTTATCAGCCCAGTAAGCCACCTCAGACGAATCTAGAAAGCAGGCTGCCTCCAGCTTGCAAACAAGTGCAGATGGCTTAATTACCCAATTGTGCACAGTGAATTTAAACACGCTTTTAAATACGGTTGTCAGGACTGAGGGTGAAACAAGGGGCAGTTACAGACCCTGGGGACAAGAGCAACCGGAGGGAGATGGCTGGAAAGAGTTGGTTTGGGACCCCAGGGCGTGGTCCAGCACAGGAGCAAGACACCTACAGGAGCAAGGCACCTTCAGTCCTCCGTCCTCACACCAAGAAGCAGCACTTCCGAGGCCTCGCAGCAGGAGTGTACGATTTCAAGTTCTCTCTGACTCTGGGAGTTAAGAAGAACTCTCACCAAAAAACAGTCTATCCAGGCAGCACTTTCCTTTCTCTGGGAGTCTGAGAGACTTCTTTCCAATAAAAGAAACTAAGAACTGTGAGCTGGACTGTACAGAGAGACCCATTTTCAGTAAGCCTCCTGCTCTAGCAGCCCACTGGCCCCACAGCACAACTCT